AAGCAGGGGTGAATTGCCTCGAATTCCTCGAAGGCCGCCGCTCAATAATGCATTACGAGCTAAAAGCATACGAGACAGAAGGCCATCGATCTTTAGATTTGCTCAATCTAAATGTTTGGTGCCTTAACTTCTTACGAATTGATGGGCCGTCGTTGGGTCTAATAGCAGGGTAGGGAAATAATGGTTTCATTAAGCTTTATTCTGTTGACTCTAATTTCGAATATCGTACCTCTTCCTACCTTTTCGTACCTGTGTATTATCATGAATTAGTTATCTTTCATGCCATTATCATGCCACTAATATTAATTTCATCATTATCGCACCCGTGCATACCATTGTCATCATTCATACCATTATCATATTCAGTATCATCATAATGTTGCATGCCTGTATATGACATCATCTTACATGTCATCATTATTGCACATGCCATAACCACAATTAACGCGATCTTAACATTCAATGCCATCATTATATTGCGCACAAACATCATTACGCACGACATCATCATCTTGCGTACCATCGTTACCATGAATGCCAACGTCATCAGTCATACCACATTCTTATCGGATGCCATCGCCATTTTTCATGCCGCAATCATCATGCATTACTTCATCATCTCGCTCAATGCAGTAAATAGAGCCATAAATAAAGCAAGGACCAGCCTCGTGCTTCCACCGTTAAGTGAGACAGCAGCCCCGCTCTGCTGTATACCTACTGTACCAAGAAACGCAGCCAAACACTTGCCTCATTCATCACTGAGATTGAAGATCCACAAAGCCGGTAATAAGCCAAGGTTTAAACGATGCTTCACTTCATACGAGCTTAGAACAGAACGAAATTCTAAAATTTAAACTCACTGGACTATTCTGCATACTTCCACGCTCATTTAACTATTGCCTAAGGTTTACTTCGTACGTTCTACATGCACCATGTATTCTAGGCAATTAATTATTTCAAGGAATTTACACTACAGCGGTCACGCCATGGCCGAGACCNGTGGTAATCCTCTAACTAGCGTTTAGCTTGCCTGTATGGCGATAGGAATAGTCATTGTGGTAACCAATTGTAAGATGTTGCTCAGTTCGTAATAAACCTCTGCCCACTACGGTGTCACTTCTTTTGGCCCTTGATACGTTCAACCTCGGTGTTAGATGGTTCGTTTCATCCAGTTGGCAAAATTATATTTTTACATCGAATTAGCTGATAATCATCGCTGAAGTGTTTTTTTATTGTATTTTGTAGCATCCCAATAGATTAAAAAATACAAAAATCATTCATGGAACAACTAAGGTGACCGTAACTTCTGAAGTCGATACAGCCATGGATACAGCCGCCATTTCTTATCATAACATTTTGGAAATGTTTTAGTTTCGAATGACTTTGTTAGAAATGAGTAATTTTCTGAAATATATTGACAAGTTGAAAGTTTTGAATCTATGATAGTGTGTTTTCTCTTATTCATGAGAGCCTGGATCTGAGTGGTGGGTGGAGATACACGAGTGATTATTTCTAAAAATTAACTTCGCGGGTTTCTACTTGTCTGTCATTGTTACCCGTTGTTGTATACTGAAGTCTATTGCTTCAACATTCACGAATGTTAGCCCTGTAAATATAAGATAGAACGTTTTCTATTGTACATTAAGCTAAACCTCGTCTTTACCGACAAGTCAGTCTCTTGTGAACCTGCCGTGAATAACCTTGCTTTCTCTGCCCAGCTGGTCTCTGCCTGTACCACGAGTGTCGTACGGGACTTAGTCCCAGCGTCGTAGTTAAGGATATTACACCCGTGTTAGGCTACAGCTACGCATTCAAATTTGTGTCTAAACGACTCTCAGTACTGAACGGTTACATCTGGCATCATTCTCATCTACTACATCTAGAGAAACTTGACGGAAGTTGGATTTTCGTGAAAAATGGTAAGCCATTTAAAAATTTAACTGAGATTTTAAAATCCACTCTGAATTCGTCAAAATATTTACTATTCAACCCAGGGATATTTGATGGGATGGCTGTTTGAAGAAATTTTACGTCATCAGCATTGCTGCACGAGCCAAAATTACTACGGTTTCGCAAAGAAGCAAGAACGCTGAAGCGTCTAGCAATACTCCAGTGGATGAGCTCCTACAACTTCAAACAAAGAAGAAAGATACCCCGAGATCGCTACCTCGACACAGCATTGAGTAATCAGACTGTCAAAAGAATATCATCGTCAGCGTTCTAAGTGACTGGTTTCTTGGACAGCTAAATGAGATGCTATTGAAAACAAGACGGAAGCTTTTCGGAAAGTAAGTGTAAATTTTCACTGCTGTATAACCAAGTGGGTTCCAGCTTTCCAAAGAATTACCAATGCATTTATGCATGCATTAATTTCGGCTTGGCAGTATATTCCTGTTCCAAAAGCTTTTCTGCCATCAAGTTAACTTGCAGAAAGTGTGTTGAGCAAGGTCTCGTAAGTAATGTCTATGCATGAAGTGTAAAAGATGACGCGTTTGAAGAAAAGTAGCAACGGAGCGGCGCAAGGGAAAGCAGCCGATCTTTGACCGAAGCCTATGGACAACCCCCAGCAGGGCCTTGAGTGACACGCAGTGAGCTGTGCTGACGGTGGTGATACAAGAAATATCTTGAGTAAATGACGTTTGTTCCACGGAAATTATTTTTAGTCGGACATTGAAGAGTAAAAAACTATGTTTAGAGTCGATATCGTTTTTCAGGTTTCACCATCACAATATAACGAAGCTGATATCCGGGTTGTCCCTACACCTCGTAGATTAATGGACTAGGTATAACTATTGAGATTGACAGAAATGCTTGGATACAGCACCGTAAACGTTACACACAGAGGTACGTGCATTCTTTTTAAATAAATTTCTCGCTGTATTACGAGCATATTGTAACAACGACAACCTCTACCATGTAATTTTCCACTAAATTTTATTTCTGAATTATGTCATTGAGATCTATGCATCCAACACATATATTTTGTCTGCATTTCAATCAGTATATGGAAAATATTTTCCCAGTGGGGACAAATTGATCGCAGAGTTGATGGATCACAATTGAATATATTCTGGTGTTCAGACACGTCTCTGACAATTTTACGGCCGCAGCCGGTCTGCAATATTCAATGATAAAATAATTAAATCTCCCAAAGTAATGAACGCAGTACGGTGAAACAAGTTACACGTTTTCATTAGGATCTTGCGGTGATATTTAGCTCGTGAATTTTTTTTTTAAATTCGCCTTCATTTGCGAGTTATATGGCGATACGAGCCGAAATTCTCAGTGATCAAGGAATTTCTTCCAAAGTACTGAATAGATTTGAACGAAATTTTCATTATACATTCCTGACTACCAAACGGTGATGTCTAGCTCGTATTTTTTCGATTTTTGCCTTTGTTCGCCATTTTTTTCCATTTCACCTTCATTGGGAATTTAAACAGCAACACTGAATACGTGCTTAAATTCGCATTGATCAAGAAATTTCTTCCAAACTACTGAACAGATTTGAACGAAACTTTGATGTTTAGCTAGTGACATTTTTTCCGATTTTTCCTTCGTTTGCGAGTTATACGGCTATACGTATACGGCTTTTGCAAATTTAAAAATCGGCCTCAGAAATTCCGGTCGCTTCCCCGCATATCTGTATAACTCGCGATAGGCAAAATTGAAAAAATTGTCACGAGCTAAACATAACCCTTAGGAGGTTAGGCATTTATATACAAAGTTCGCTCAAATCTTTTAAGTAGTTTGGAAGAAATTCTTGATCACTGTGAATTTGAGCAAGTCTTGCTGTTTAAATTCCGAATGAAGATGAAATGGGAGAAAACTAGCGAACGAAGGCAAATCGAAAAAATTTTTACGAGCTAACCATCACCGTTAGGTTGTTATGAATCATATTCAAAATTTCTTTCAAATTTGTTCAGTAGTTCGTAACAAATTCCTTGATCACTGCAAATTTCAGCCCGCATTGCCATATAACTCACGAATGAATGCGAAATTTAAAAATCATTCACGAGCTAAACATCACTGTTAGGTCCTAATAAATACGTGAACCAAGTTTCATCGTACTGCGTTTATTAGTTTAGGAGATAGTCCTTGATCATTTAATTTTGCAGACCGGCCAAGAGTCCGGCCGTAAAATTGTCCGAAACGAAAGAAATATGTACTTAAGTATAAAGTGGGATAATTTCGGGCACCGGCCTGCGTCTCATGTCGCAAAAACTGAAATTGGAGGCTTTGTAACTCGTTCAACTTTGATTGAACAACGTAGCTGAGCTGATTTTAAGCTATTATATGCATCAACTGATTGTTTATTAGGTACTTTTACACTTTACAGCACAAAAGCAAGAATCTGGTTGTGATGCAAAAATCGTTTCTATATTTCAAATTTTCCGTTATACAGTACCGGCCTGATTTCACTCATGCCCATGCCATCTCCGGGCCCCCGGCAATCCTAAAAAAACGACTGCTGGGGCCTGGGGCCAAGTCTCGTCTCTACTCTCTAGCAGTGAACACTGAGCAGTCTAGGAGTTTTTCTCCCTACAGAGAGTCAGAGACAACGTGTCAAGACTATTTAATGATGAAATGAAATTTTTTTTATTGTCGCTTTTTATAAAATCATGAATGTGTTTCATGTCATTTTTAGATTTACTTCACCGAATCATCCGAATGCTGGACAAATTTTGAATGACCGGTCAGACTGTCCTGCGGCCTGCGCTCCTGCCGCAGCGGCGAAGCCGGTCAACGGCTTCCATTTCTCCATTACATCAGACATCAGTTATCACTTCATTTTCATAAATGAGGAATCAGATTCCTAGGTATCAGACTATATTATCACATTGACAATAACGTTCCACAAGACTGAGTGTCAGTGAGTGATACTGTGATAGTACTGTTATTATAGTGTGATACTCAGATACTGATAGCTGTTTAAGATGGGACACCAGGGACAGTGATGTAAATCATGTAATGATGAAACCTCAATAAGCTCAATTTACTTACCATATTCCATTTCAGTCCTTTAGTTGTAAATAATTTGCCATAGTTTGACAACAGTTTTAGCAGAGTTGCAGAAATGTATTGTGCATTGCAAAAAGCAATTCTGAAGGCTACATTTTCAAGTAAGTTGTTTAAGTCTTTCAATGTTATTTTTTGCATGTTACTAATCAGATGGTGGACGCCAATGTTTGCAGCAATTCAGCAAACGGATGACAAGGATGCCAAAATTGATTGCTCATGGTCTGGACTCTGGAAGGGTTGGTTTGGTGTGGGTGCCAGAAATTTATTTTAGGATGTATTCCAGTATGGCGTATGCCAGGCGGCCAGGGTAAAGTATCATGGATACCACCTAGTATGGAATATATCTACTTGGCGAGCCGC